AACTGCTGGTTTCGTCTGGCCAGAGGAGAACTGGCCCCCCGACTGAGCCTGGTTTCTCCCAAGGTTTTTTTCTCCATTTCTTTCACCGATTTTCCTTGCCACTGTTGCCTCTGGCTTGCTTAGTTGGGGACACTTAATTGCCAGCGATATCGTCAACTTGATTGCACAGATACTATTTGAACTGAACTGAGCTGGATGATGACATCACTGAATCAATAATGAACTGACTTTAACTGAAAATGGTTAAAATTGTGTTTACTGTTGTCCTTTTGCATTGTTACACACTATTTTCCCATTTAATACTGTAATGCTGCTTTGACACAATCTGTATTGTTAAAAGCGCTATATAAATAAAGGTTAATGGACTATGACTCTGTGAAATTCAGCTGATCATCAATGATAACTCCAAGGTTCCTGGCTGTCCTTGAAGGAGTTATGGTTGATGCACCTAGCTAGATGGAAGAAAATGTGAAGTGTTGTGTTGGCTGAAACCACAAGCATTTCTGTCTTGGCATGGTTGAGTTGAAGGTGATGGTCCTTCATCCAGCAAGAAATGTCTGTTAGACAAGCTGAGATGCGAGCAGCTATCGTCGGATCATCAGGATGGTATGAGAGGTAGAGTTGAGTGTCATCAGCATAGCAGTGATATGAAAAGGCATGTTCTGAATGACAGAACCTAGTGATGCCATGTAGACAGAGAAGAGAAATGTTCCAAGAACTGAGCCCTGAGGCACCCCAGTAACTAGGTGTTGCGGACTTGGACTCCTCACCCCTCCAAGTTACCTTGAAGAAAACCATTGGAGTGTGGTTTAGAGTCAGAATGTGATTAGAATGAGTCTGCAGGCCGTCTGAGGAACAACAGCAGCATATTCATTCACACACACAGTAATGCTAGCTGTTTGTCCAAGGTGACTCTGTCCTTGTTTACAAAAAACAGATTTAGGGATTGAGAGCTCTGGCAAAATGAATGGCCTTTAAAACACTAAATGCTGCCTCTTAAGTGAATTGCTAGACTGTGTATTGTTGTTGCTGGTGTGTTGGATTAGGCTATATAGAGGGTTTTCTCTCACCTGGTGTGATATAGACACTCTTGTAGTCGTTGTGATGGGCGTCAGGCCAGTTTTCACACAGGTGCACAAGTGACTCATCTGATCGTGACTCCAGAGATCATAGAGGAGAGCTGTGCCAGGTGTATTCAAAGTTTAACACTTTTGTTTAATTATAAAAAATAGGGTGTTGAAATTAATTTAATTGTGCCCCCGAGCCATGCATAAATTAGAAAAGAAATTAAGAACACTAAATGAATTTATTGCTTATTAATTTATTGCTTATTAATATAAAAAATGTTTGCCAAAGCAAAGTCATGTGGTGCAGAAAAAACTAAAGAAAATAGGAAATATGTATCATAGAGAGGCCAAAATATTATATAT